GAGGGAGAAGCAGACAGGGAGGGATTGGTTAGCAGACCCGCCAAAAAGAAGAGGGTCCATGTGTCTCAGAAGTTTTTGTCCAAATATCAAGAACAGTGGTCATGCTTGCGACCCTTTAAACAACCTCACCATGCATTTTGCGCAATCTGCAATTATGATGTGGACATAAGCCACCAGGGAGCTGCAGGTAATTAGTAAATTAGCCCTGGTGATGTGTGCATATGAGCTTTGAGCCAAGTTAATATTACATTCTTGAGAACAGAATCACCTATTGCAATTTACAAAATAAATAATTACCATTAAATACATATAGATGTTATTTTATTAATTTGAATTGAAATAATTTAATGCAAGTAACATGTATAAGCACAAATATCATATAAAGAAACTTAAGAGTTTTACTGTTAAATATTAAAATACATGATACTTTGGAGTCAAGTCAAACTGTAAAAATGTCTATAACCTTACTAGTAAAAATAAGAACTATGAACGTGTGTGTGTGTGTGTGTGTGAAATTTTCCATCCAATGAATGGCAAGATTACAGCGTGAAAAGCAATGGAGTTGCAAAAGTCCCCAAAAATAAACGCAGCGCAAGTGGTACTTAAAAAAATGTTGACAAGGTTGGCAGGTCTGTGATTATAAGACAAATGTATATTGCAAGGACATTCATTTCAGCCGTATTAATTTAGGCACTGATTCATCAAAACATTTCATTTAACCATATTGTCAATTCATTCTATGATTATTTTAACACTTCATTATTTATAACTGTTCATTATTATAAAAGTTCATTCTTTTTGTTCTGTGAAGCAAAGCAGTCTGAGATGAGAGGAAGCTTGAGAGAGACCTTGGTGACGCAACAGTTTGTTGACAATGTGTTATCGTGTATGCCAGGGCATTGCAGAATCTTCTTGCAGCTTGGCAGATGCAGACGTATGTCTCCATATGGCCTGATACTGAAGAGGTTAAACTGTAGTTAAAAACTATTTCTGGATGCTACACCTCCATGCTGTAGCAGCCATTCAGTCAGAATAGAAAGTGAAACTTAAATATAGCTGCTGTCAGTAACAATCTAACAGAATTTAAACATTAAAACTTAACAGAAAATAGTTCAAAGGGAAATTTCACAACTTTGTGATTTATTATTATTATTATTATAACTAGATAAATTGCATTTCTTGCAGAAATGCTGTTTGAATGCTGGATAGCTTAAACTGTTAGCTGAATCAGCTTAATAGCTGAACTGAAGCTGAAAGTAAGCAAAACTGTCAAAATGAGCTGAATGTGTTGAAAGATGTAGAAGCAAAAATCACTAACAAGCAAATAAAGCACAAAAAGTAAGTGAAGAATGGAGAGAAATAATCCTAAATGGCAAAAACTGAAACCTGTGAACATTGTATAAAAATCTGGACAACTAAATTGTCTAAACACCTGTTATTTCAGTTGGACAAGTTTAACAGTTTAATCTTTACATTTAGCTGAACTGTGAAATTAGCAGCTTATGCTAAAGTTGGTAACTGATTGTGGAAGTTGTTGAATAGCTGAAGTGAAGCTGAAACTAAGCTAAACTAGCAAATGAGCTGAATGTAGTGAAAGTTGTGAAGGCAAAAAGCACCAACAAGAAAATAAAGCACAGAAAGTAAGTGAAGAATCAAGAAAACTAATCCTAAACAGCAGAAAACTGAAATCTGTGAACATTGTTTAAAAAACTGGACAGCTAAAATGTCTAAACACCTGTTATTTCAGTAGGACTAGTTTAACAGTTTCATTTTTACATTTAGCTGAACTGTGAAATTAGCATCATAAGCTGAATTCAGAAACTGATTGCTGAAGCTGCTGAATAGCTGAAGTGAAGCTGAAACTAAGCTAAACTGCCAAAATGAGCTGAATGTATTTAAAGATTTAGAAGCAAAAATCACCAAGTGTAATAATGCTCAGAATATAGGTGAAGAATGGGCAAACAATGCTGAACAGCAGAAAACTTTAATCTTTGAACATTGATTAAAAACTCAAAATTTGTTATGTTAAGCAGCTGGCATTTGAATGAGAATAGTTTAACGGGTACATTTTTACAATTGGCTGAACTGTGAATTTAGAAACATTTGCTGATATCTGAAACTGATAGATTAAGATATGTTCAGACTTGATATGGGATGCATGAATGGTTGGATGAATGAAATGACGGATGGATTGTTGGATGGTTTATTGGATGGATGGATGGATTCCTTAGGCCAAGCCGATCGATTTGATGTCTTACATGTGTGGGTGTGTAATTTCATTTAGCCAGAAGATGTTTGATGTCTCTCAACCAATCAGGGAGCTGGGAGGGAGCGGGACACTTTCCCACCTTCTGACGGTCAATCACATTTAACTTGTTTCTAGTTTTAAGTACAGATAGTTCAAAAAGATCAAAAACCGAAGTCTGTTATTGGCTCAATATTCAGCTTTTTATATTCATTCCTATGAGACTTGGTTAAAGTGATTTGTAGTTCCTTGTGTTGCCATGGTAACAGATGACAGGAGTCTGCATTAATAAAGCTATGTACAATGTCACATGACTCTTTAAAACTTTGAATAACATTTCTATATTAAAGTATGTTGATACAGTTGTGTCTAAAATGTTTTTAAATGTTGTTGCTAAGCACGTTGCCATGGTAATGCAGAACACAGAACCAAGCAAGTTGAACTGATGTATCATATGTGTGGGTGCATATTTCCTTTTTAGGCAGAAGACGATTGAAAACTCTCAGCCAATGAGAGCAGCGAAGGAGGAGGGGGCGGTTCCTGCCTTCTGACTGGTGTCAAAATGTCAGCTATGCTGCTAGTTTTAAGTGTATAAAGCTCAGAAAGATAAGAACCAGCAGTATGTTATAGGCTCATTTGGCTTTTCACATTCATTTCAGTGAGACTTGTTTGGGGATATCCTTATGCACTTGTGTTACCATGGTAACAGGAAACACATTTAAAATTGAATACAAGATTCCTGAGACCAAGCTGGTCGATTCATATGTGTGGGTGGTCGATTCTGCTTGGACAGAAAATGGTTGAACACTCTCAACCAATCAGAGAGCAGCACTGTTTTCCCGCCTTTTCCCCCGGCTGTTGGAGGCCTGCAGCTGGACTCCTTCCTGTTAATGAGAGAAGCCTTTAAAATCTATCCTTCAGAAGTGAAATTGGACCTGTCAAACTTCTCATCACCATTCGAAAAGTACTTTACCGATTTGAAAAATTCAAAATGCGTGAGCGGCAGAAGGCTTTGATGGTTATCTGTATGAATTTTTATGTGCCTACCATGAATTGTCTAGAAGCTATGACGAGAAAATTTTAGCTGTCTGAAGCCGATCGGAGGAGAAAATCTCTGTTCCTTTAACATGGGTTTCAATGAGACAGAATCCGGGTCTCTCCTCCTTCTGAGGCTTGTAGAGAAAGAACCGTAACACTTACAGATGAAATGAAACCCATTCTGAAAAGCTGACAAAACTTTCTACTTTTTGAGATATAATTTGTTTCGGTACTCCAAATGGTCTGGGTGTTGGAAAGAGTTGTTTCCAGAAAATGTGAAGGTCAAAATTTTCAGTTTAGAGTGGTGGGAAGCATTTTTTTTATTTTATTTAAATATTCTCAAACAAATAAACCGTACGACCACAATGTTTGGAGTACATTCATGAATTATAGCTCAAAACGAAGGTGTATTCGTAAGCTGTAAGCCAGCGTGCGTCTCATTTCAATGGTACCTACAGTTCTCAGAACAATGCCAGAAATGGAGCAGGGAAGGGTCACCGCTCCTATCTTTCCCCATTATAATTTTTGTGATTTTTTTTTTCTGAAAACCTCATTCTACCTGTGATTTTAGAAAAACTGTAATAGATATGTAAAAGATCTTTTAACCAGTAATAGCTGAAAGTCTTGTGAGTTTGTTGAAACTTGAATGAAATCTCTAGGTTAAAGTTAACCTATAAGAGTAAGAGTTCAAAAAAGTGATAGGATTTAGCTGAAAATTGAGCAATCCCATTCATTGCAATGGGACCAAAAATCGCAGAAAAAGCTAAATATCTCAAAAAGTATAAAATATTTTGATACCAAAAGTCATTGCCGGCATAAGCTGAATGAGCTGAACGTTTTGATACCAAAATTGTGTAAATAGTTGAAGAATTGTGGAAGTAGTTAAATGCCAAACAACGTACGGAAGCAAAATAATAAACTACTAACAAACTAAAGAGAAACAGGATCACTATAGTTTGAATGCTTTGCAGCATTCAAAGCTGGTGTGGTCCACCACCGAGAAAGCTGCTGTAGCATGATGGCTTTAATAATTCTGCAGGCAATTGTCCAGCCTTGTGACGCTCACTCACACACACACACACACACACACACACACGAGTGTTGGTGAGAGGCTGCGCCTGACTGCTGACTCTTGTGTGTTTTTATTTCTGCAGTGAGACAAACTCACCTCACACCGTCCAGAGTTTGTCCTTTAAAGCTTCTAGTAAACCCACCGTGTTGACGTATTTTAACAAGTTTCCTCTATGCTGCAGGAATAAAAGTTTACATTACAGAGTAAAAGTTCGGCAGACGCGTTTGTTTATATTTGGCCGGTGGGGGGAGGGGGGACTCGGTGCTGCACACAGACAGCTGGTGTGATCAGCTCTGAAAAGCATTGATCACAATTTGCAGATCACATTTATTTTTCACAGAGATCGGCCGTGGATTCCTCCCCCGTCGGCTTTCTAGGAGTCGAAATAAAAAACTTCGAATGATTCCGGGAAAACTAATAGTCAGTCCCGGTTCCAATCGACGCTCGATGGCCAACCCTACTCCTCAGAGACACAATGGACACAAGAAGATAATAAAAGACAAAATTTGCCAAATGGAGCGTCTCACCTTTTTCACTCTTGACCCGTTTTCATGTCTGCAACTAGTTTAGAGCAAGTGTTCATATTTGAATTTTCCAACTTGTTTCCAACATTACCAAGTCATATTAAAGTGAGTGCTGTTGCAGGAAGTCCCTGAGGAGCTGGTGCTCATGGCAGAAAGGTATGAGAAACACAAGAGGGAGAGGGATTTGAATAACCCAAGAGGAGGAGGAAGAGGAGGAGGATGGGGAAGGAGAGGTGGCAGAGACCGAGACTGGGGATTCTAATACATTCATGTAAGTCTACACACAACACAAGGTGACCTACATATAGTGGCATGAAAATTTAGTGGTGAAAAGCCATGTGGATAGATTATCTGAGTTGACGAGCAGAAGCAACCAACACACTCTCTCTTTTACATCTGCTCTCTTTCTCACCAGTATACAATAGTTCGCTAGAGGCAGGATTACTCATTATTTTAGTATTTCTTGCAAAATTGTTTGAAAATGTGGGAGATTTTGAACAACTTTTTAACAATAGTCCCTATCCGACTTGTGTGCATTACCATAATGACCACAGTGAAAGTGCAATGCAAATGTAGCTGAAGCTTAGAGTTGCTTCAGCAGACTGAGTGTATTTATTGATAAAGAAAACAAAAGCTGACAAGAATGTGAAAATGCGCATGAGTAGAAAAAATGACTGAATGACAACAAAACAAACTATTTTAGCCAGTAAAGAATTTGACTTTTCTGTTTGGTTTTGTTTATTTAGGCAGCAGACAAGGAGTAGACCGGTAAGTGGGAAGAACTTGTTGGCAAAAATAAAACATGAGGGAATTTATTTTGTTTGTTTCTAATAAAAATGGGGAATTTTCTCTCTTCTACAGAGTGAACCTGTATATCTGTAACTGACAGGAGTTTCTTTTGGATCTGTGTATATATATTTCTTTTGGATTATATTTGGCTGTATTTCATTGTTGCTTATTTTTGAGATACACAATTGTTTTAAAAATGTTTAAATGTTCAGGAGACTAGTTCTACGCCTTTTAGTGTGTTCTGTGTGCCCCCTCCACCACATTTATGTTACATATTCAATTTTGTGTTCATTGTTTGATTTGGGGTTGGAAAACACCCAAATAAAATGGTATTCTACAAAGATGTCATACTTTGTGTTTATATTTATTTCCTGGTCTAGATGGCTCCTAAAATAGTTCCAGAATTGGAAATGGGCTCAATGTCCACATCCAATTTTAATCTGAACCTAGACACTGGGGGTTCTGGGGGGAATTGTGGTTGTGTGCTGGCACCAGCTGGTGTAAGCCAGACGATGCCTGCAGTGTAACAACATGCATCAACACCACATTGGAGCAGGTGAAGGGAGACTAGTGGGCTCATCACACCTCTGTTCCTGTTTGGCTGCTCAGGGCTAGAGGCTAGAAGTGGGAGCTGGCCATCTGGTTGGCGTCTGGGGTGGTGGGTTGCTTTGCTCTGCGTTGGGCCGGGATGCCTGCCCATCATAACCAGTAGAACGGGGTTAGCTTTGGGGTCGCGGAACAGTTGTGCCCTCGTTGCAGCAGTATCGGGACCAGAGTCAGTAGGGGGTGTATGATGTACATTTTTCTGTGTCTTTAGGTTGTATGTGTTTATGTGAGAGCATGAGGGAGGGAGGGAGTGTGTGACTGTATCTGTCAGGTGCATGTACACACACAGGTACTTACATGGTGCTCTCACAAGTATAGACTTGGGCATTTTTAACAGATGACCTAAGGCTGTGATTGGCACTAAATGCACTTTGAATTTTTACTGTGTGCTTTTCAGTAAAAAATTTTTTTACCAAAGTGACAAGAAAAATGGATCTTGTGACCTCTGGCTGTGAGCAAATGCTCCTCAGTGCATCCAAATGCAGCAGCGATACATTTCACTTCATACTCAGACTTGGGGTTGCTCAATTAATTGAATTTTAATCACAATTACAATTTGAGTTTCGAATGATTATATAAACAAAGCAAGTGGATTATTCTTTGCTCCTTCCTCTTGTGCTGCTCCCAGCTGCAAATCAAGCATTCCTCCCACAGTGTTGCCAACATTGCAACTTTGTCACTTTTTCGAATAGCTTTTCAGACCTCCTCCTTGACTTTTAAAATCCTAAAAGTACCTAACGAACAACCTAGAAACATTTTTGGTGACCCTTATGTGCTTTCTAAATAACTGTTGTCAACATTTTCTGCAGGATAGCAAAACCTGCGCTCCTTCCGGATGTTAGGAAAGGGATGTTATCTAATTTGCTTTCTTAGTGCTTTATTTACCAGTGCCTGTATGGTGTTAGACAGTAATGCTGTGCTATGTTCAACCACTTTGTCACTTCATTACAGATACTGAATCGGTTGACACTTTGATAAATGAAGTAACAAAAATAATTAAATTGTTTTATTTTCCCAGTCAGTTCATATTGTTTAGCATAAACATGCCTTCTGTTTTCCTGCGGGAGTAGCTACCAACACACATTGTGATATTTAGTAGACTTAAATGCAGATTTTTTTAAGGAGAAGTATTCCAAGTATTTAGAATACAGTTCCAGGATTAAGCAAAGTAATGGAATACATTACAAAATACATTTAAAGCAGGTATTCAGTATTCTGTAACTAAATATGTTTACAAATTATTCTGCCCAACACTGATTAAAGCCCAGTCACATTTTTATTATCGAGTATTAAAAATATAAAAGGCCTGAGCACAAGTTAAAGCTCTGAACATACTTCAAATATTTAAATGAAGTCACACAAAAAAATATAAATCTAAAAAATATTTACTGTGTAGCGAAGTAAATCTACATAACTAGAATTTATCGCTGTTTGCTATGCAGCTTTGCTAAATCCTGAGAAAGATCTAATAATTTGGCCTATGAACTTATATTTACATATTTATAAAATCGATAGAAGTTCATACACCAATTGGCTTGGTCTATATTTAATCCAGAGATTAATATTTAATTTAAGAGATTTAATTAATAGCAAAAGTTTATTTTTAATTCAGAAGATTTAAACAAATCTTTGCTCGTTCAATGACCAAATATTCACCACGCTGTGTTTCATTTCAAAGAAGAGTCAGTAATAAATTCTTAACTTTTTAAACCTGACAATCTAAAGATGACAATTTAAAAGACAGTTTAAAAGCTTTGATATTAAACTTGGTATTGAAGCAACCTGTGTCTGGATGAAAACTAAAATGAAATGTGTGTGTTAGGATGTGTGAATGGGATCTCAGAAGGTTTCTATCAGAGAGAAAACGCATTCTGGGTGAAAGAGTTTGTTTTGCAGCTGAGCTAAGTTATTTCTTAAAGAAACAGGCATATGGACACAATCTGTCGGAAGTGTCTACCTCACCCAGTTAGGAGACCCCCTTTTGGATCCGAGATGTCAGGTGGGATGATGAACCCCCAATCACGAGGTGGGTAGAAGAACCTTAGTGCGACCAAATCGGTCCTGAGATGTCTCTGGGTCACAATGACTGATGAAACTGGTTGCGTCTCAAAAATCAATAACTCTGAAGGAGTTTTGCGTCAGCTGGTTGCAGATGGCGTTTTGTCGGAGCAATTCAATCAGCGCGACAGAACAGCTTAGTAGAGGTCGAATGGCTGACCCGATCCTCTGGGACTCTCGTGCCACGGAGAGATTTTGGTGAGCTCAAGAACTGAACTTGAACTGAGGAGTTTAGGTTTTAGCAAACCTCAGGACACGCCCTCTCAGAGATAGAATGCTTTGTTATGGAGCAAAGACATGTGAGAGCAGTTACCTTTAACCCTGATGTATGTGTCCTGCATGATGTGTATAAGTGCACATGACCTTATTGTCACTGATCAAACATTGCTGATTATCATAAATAATAATTATTATTAACCAAAGAATAAGAATTCATTTCAGTAATTAAATACATTTATAATGAACCGTGATGATTATTTATGAACCTTGTAATAGACAGTGAAAAGATTTTATTTAAAATGATTTTTTTTTTATCTTGACGTGTCCTTCATCTTGCGGATGGAACAGAATCAGATAAAAGGCAGTCAGATTAAAGATGGTTTACAGCAGACTTTGTGTCTCCTGTGATGGATAATCTGTGAATAAAAGTACAGCCAGGACAGCTCGACCTAGCTGAGGAAGTGTGACCTTTGGGTCACAAATGAGGCCATTCATGTCGCTACAACTGTATTTACTGCATAATATCAACTGATAATTGTAAGTATAAAAGTGTCAGTAATAAAAAGCCAATTTTTGTAATATATACGTTGATTGAAAAACTAAGCCTTTGTGGGTACTGAATTTGGCAAATATGATTAAGCTTTTTCATGAGTTAACACTTGTTTTAGATCCCCAGTTTCTACCTGGGATTCAATTCAAACCTAGTTTTGGCAGAAGAGATTAAATTCACTTATGTGTTGCAAAGATCTTTCCTAAACACAGGAAAACCCTTATCACATTGCTCCTTGATAGAGTCAGCAAGTTTAATACATTGGTTCTTTCCAACCCCAGAGAGCAGATTCTGTTTGGGAATGAAAAAGTTGCAGAGTTCACCAGTTCTCAGGTGGCTTTCAAAGTCCTTCAGAAGGACCTCGAAGCAGTGACTCAGATCTGAAGCCCTCCATTCACCATCTTTGGTTCTGGAGCAGCAGGCATGTAAGAGCATAGTCTTGACGTGGTAGGAGCAGAACTTGACAAAGGAAGAGTCTTGTTCTTTCAGTAGATGCAGAAGATGCTTGAGGAGCTTTAAGCAGTTTTTCCTGTTTGCAAAAAGTATTTTGACAACTTTAAAGTCAAAACTAAACTTAGCTGAAGGCAAATATGATGATGATGACAATTTAAATACATTTTTTTCTTCTGATTGCTAGAAGTACTAGACTTTCTGCAAATAGATATTTTGCAACAGTATTATAAAAAACTGTACTGAAATTATACCATTGCTGTGTACCTCAGTGATAAGTGAAAACTGTTGAAATATTTATTTTTCTCCATACCTTAATTAAATCTAAATTTGCATTAGGCCTTCTGCACAATGCTGGTCTGTTGTTGTTTTAAGTTCATAAAATTCTGACCTGCAGCAGCTCTCTCCAGCCTTTTCACAGCACGTTCTCTCTGATCCATGATTCTTCATAATGTCCTTTTCAATGTGAGAAAAGGAAACCCGCCAAACATCTGTGTCACAGAGAACAAAACTATCTGTTAGACACCAGTTTAGATGCCGGGAGACAAATTGAGTTCATGTTGAGTTTTAGGCAATGGACTTAATATGTCGAGGTGCAGTTTTTCTTCATCTTTATTACATGGCATTTCCTGTTACATTCATAGAAATAAGTATCAATACATTTCTCATTCTTACTTTTTGCAAGGACTCCACCTTTTTCTGCATCCCCCCTTCCTTCATATTTTGGGACAAGGTAATATGGCTTCCATTTGTAGTTCCGTTTTGCTTTAGTTCCAAGCCACCCCTCAATTTTAAAACCATCTTTGGTGAAAGTTGGCCAGGTTGATTTAACTTCAAGACAGAGCACAACATCTAGAGAAATGATGACTGACTCTACTTTTCTTGTCAGAGTCACTGCAGGGCAGCGTGGTTTCTTTGCCGTCATCTCCCATTCTGCAACAATCAGTTATGGTAAGCATAAACATGCTGCCTGTTATACATGGAATCACTTATTCAGTACTTTATACACAGCAGAATTACATTATATCAGTAATGTATATTAGGATAATATTGACGTTAAAAGCAACTTACAAAATGCATTTTTGCCACCGACCTGGAAAGACTTTTGCAAATTTTTTCACTTCCTTCCGGAACTCTTTAAGCATTTCATAACTAGACAAAATGTTGTCTTGCTGGAATTTCTTCAAAGGGTTCTCATCACCAGTTGGATCACGTTTCAATACCACACTGTAGAAGGCTCCATTGTCGTCGAAAGGCTCGATATTAACTCGCTCAACCGGTATGGGCAGCATGACATCAAACTCATCAGGATTAGAAATCTGTACAGACATAAATATGATCATGTAATAGGGAGCTGACTTTAATCCAATCTGCCCCATGAACCACATGTTCACTGTTGAATTTGGGGAGTAAACTCAACTTACCTTCAGATTTTCATAATAACTTCCAGTGCGAAGGGGTTCCTTAACATTTTTAAAACGTATAGAATGGTCTTTTAAATACTCGATCAGATGCTTCATAAAATAATTGATGACTTGCGATGAATCTGATCGTTCCTTACTCCTAATCTTCAAGTTTTCTAGAATCTTCTTAAGAGTACAATCCACGTCGTCATCTGTCCTGTCTTTTGAGGAATTGTAAGTCTTAACTAATAGTGCCTCTGTTCTCTTCTGCAGGACTTTGTCGTTACATTTCTTGGCTTTCATAGCAGCAGGTGTTTTAGTTTGTGTTGCAGTCTTCTCTGGAAGTTGTTCTAGTTCGGTTGGGTCCTTGTTCTGACCTTGTAATTTAGCTTTACCATTGGCTTTGGGAGATGTCTTTTTCAAACTCTTTTGTATCTCTGGTGGCGTGTCTTGTTGAGTGTTCTGCATATCCCCTGGAGGGTTGTCCTGTAATTTTCTCCTAGTAGAGCAGGTTTTTGCTTTTATATTTTCTTCAGGCATCACTAGCTGGTTGTGAATCTCCTCTTTGTTTTTTGTTTTCCCAGCCATTGGCACCGATGGCTTATCTTCAGTGTGGTTTTTCTTTTGCTGATCCAGTCTTTTTGATGTCTTTGCAGTTTCATTCTGCTTCTCATTTTTAAAGGTTGTACATCTCCCTGAAGGTGCTAGTTTGAGTTCTTTAGGTTTTGAGTCAGGACTCTGTGGCCTCTGTGGTCTTTCTCTGCCAGCCATGGTAAAATGACTTGGCTGAAACTGCTACGCGCTGTAAGAATGCACATCTTGTTACGCCCCTTTTGTATTTTGTCAGATTGCCCTTGAACTGATTTTTTACAACTACCACTTGACTTGTGTGTCATCATAGATTAGGTAACTCGCTGGCATTGAAAAAAAATTTTTTAAATGTGAAAGTTTTTTACTTTTATTTCTTTATCAGTAGCTACATCTAGTGGATAAAAGTTTGTATTGCAACAATGTGTTGTCAGACTTTACAGCTGAAAGTTTCAAGATATGTTTCTTGTAATTTCTTGTATCAAATATACACCCAATTCTGGAAGATGATGTGATGTAAAATTTGATCATAGAGTCTCGCAGAGAAGAACTTTGTTACAACAGGCAGGTTCCTCTGTGTCCAAGATTATGAGAAATTATTTTTCAGTGTTTCCCTCCTCACACACTCTGAAGTTATGGAAGTAGATAAGGCAACCAATGTGGAGATGCAGGTCTTAGCTCTATGTTCTCATTGTTAGGAACTTTGAAAGGGAGGAGGATGGAAGTATTTAGAATGCTGCATGTTTAATGTTAAATATAAATATACATGGAAACGGTGTTCACTCGCCCAGACGTGGGTCACCTCACCACCACCACCACCCACCCCCCGGAGCCGGACCTGGAGATGGGGCACGTTGGTGAGCACCTGGTGGCCGGGCTTTCATGGAGCCCAGCCGAGCACAGCCTGAAGAGGAAACGTGGGTCCCCCTTTCCATGTGCTCACCACTCGTGGGAGGGGTGAAAGGGGTTGTGTGCAGTGTGTGACAGGTGATAGCCGAGAGTGGGGACCTTGGCGGTCTGACCCTCGGCTACAGAAGCTGGGTCTTGGCAAGTTGAATGTCACTTCTCTGGTGGGGAAGGAGCCTAAGTCTGTGTGCGAGGTTGAGAGGTTCCAACTAGATATAGTCAGATTCACCTGAACGCATGGCTCTGGCTCCGGAACCAGTTTCCTTGAGAGGGGTTGGACACTCTACCACTCTGGAGTTGTTCCCGCTGAGATGCACCAAGCAGAGGTGGGCATACTAGTTGCTCCCATCTTGGTGCCTGTACGTTGGGGTCTACCCAAGTGAACGAGAGGGTAGCCTCCCTCCGCCTATGTGTGGGGGGACGGGTCCTAGTGTGGTTTGTGCTTATGCACCAAACTGCAGTTAAGACTACCCACCGTTTTTGGAGACATGGCGGGAGTGCTGGAGAGCGCTCCTTCTGGTGATGCCCTCGTCCTGCTGGGGGACTTTAGCAGTGCGCTACCAACACTTTATAGTGGGAACCGTGTGCTGCTGACCTCGACTCGGGACATTGTGGATTGGCAGGCGGAGTAGTTGAAGACCTCTCCAATCCCATCGGCACGTCTTCCAGTGAGGAAGCAGAGTTTGGGGACTTTGGGTTGGACTCTCCAGTCACTGGTGCTGAGGTCACTGAGATGGTCAAAAAGCTCCTTGATGGCAAGACTCCAGGGGTGGATGAGATCCACCCGGAGTTCCTTAAACATTTTCAAAATGCTTTTTTTCTATTTTTACAATTTTCATAGTTTTTGTTTTTGTGAAGCGCCTCATGATTTTTATCTTGAGAGGCGCTACAGAAATGATATTTTCTTCTTCTTTGTCTTAAGGCTCTGGATGTTGTGGGGCTGTGTTGGCTGACGCTGCTCTGCAATATTGCGTGGACATTGGAGGCAGTTCCACTGGACTGGCAGGCTGGGGCGTTGGTTCTCATTTTTAAAAAGGGGGACCTTAGGGTGTGTTCTAACTACAGAGAGATCACACTCCTGTGCCTCCCTGGTAAGGTCTATTCAGGGGTCGTCGAAAAAAGAGTCTGTCGGATTGTCTAACCTTTGATTCAAGAGGAGCAATGTGGTTTTTGTTCTGCCCGTGGAACACTGGACCAGCTCTATACCCTTCTGGGTTCTGTAGGGTGGTGGGAGTTTGCCCAACCAATCTATATGTGTTTGTGGATTTGGAGAAGGTGTTCGACCGCGTCCCTCAAGAGGCCCTGTGGGGGGTATCTCACGGGTATGGAGCTCCAGGCCTTCTGAAATAGGCTGTTAGGTCCATGTATGAAAGGTGTCCGAGCTTAGTCCACATTGCTGGCAGTAAGTCAAGCTCTTTTATCTGTGAGAGTTGGACTCCGCCAAGGCTGCCCATTGTCATTGATTCTGTTCATAACTTTAATGGACAGGATTTCTGGGCGTGGCCAAGGTGTTGAGGGGATCCATTGTGGTGTCCTTAGGATCGGGTTTCTGCTTTTTGCTGATGATGTGGTCCTGTTGGCTTCATCAGAACGTGATCTCCAGCTTTGCCTGGAGCGGTTCACAGCCGAGTGTGAAGCAGCTGGGACAAGCATCAGCTCCTCTAAATCTGAGACCGTGGTCTTGAGTCGAAAAAGGGTAGAATGCCTTCCAGCTCAGCTTTCGATTTACTGGTTGATCTACGTTCCTACCCTCACCTATGGTCACTAGCTTTGGGTAGTGACCAAAAAAACAAGATTGCAGATACAAGCTGCTGAAAGGAGTTTTCTCCACAGGGTGGCTAGGCTATCCCTTGAAGATGAGGTGAAAAGCTCAGGAATATCGGGAGGGGCTCGAAGTAGATCCTCTGCTCCTCCACATGAGCCAGTTGAGGTGGTTTGGGCATCTGATTAGGATGCCTTCTGGACGCCTCCCTGGTGAGGTTTTCCGGGCACGTCCATCCGGGAGGAGACCTAAAGGAAGACCCAGAACACGCTGGAGTTGACCCCACAACCCGACTCCAGAGAAACGGAAGAAAATGGATGGATGGACGGAAGACACCTACTGGGACTTTCAATGTTTGTTTTATGGCAATAAAAATTAAAACTTTGACAGACTCCAGGACTGTTAAGTTTCTAATCAAATTCCGTGACAATAAAGAAAGTGGTTGAAATAAGTTTAATGTTGCAAAGAGGCTCATGCCATCTTACAATAAGGTGCAGTAGATTATGCCAATTTGATTTTCATTTCAAGTGCAAAGTTAGCAAATCAATCAAAGTGCTTTTAGAATCAAATTAGTTGATTCTGAGATGTTCAAGAAGGGCAAACTTAAGCCTTTTGCTTTAGGGGTTTTTAAAGCTTAAGTACAAGACATGTTCCACTAATCCACTATTTAGAAGAACATTAGCTACTAATAGTTTGAACTTCTGCTGTTGTCTCATAAAGAGCTCCACAACACTGCAAACAAACACTTAAAGCAGGACATGAAAAGATACTAGAACCAAGCACATCAGACAGCTAGAAGTTGGATACAATTGCATTAAATCCCTATGCTGAATGTCTTCAGGTGTAAGAAACGTATCACCATGACCAAATCCACAATCCACATTGAAAATCTTACTAACAAGTTGCATAATGATGATAGTTTAACCACTGAAATGGAGTCAGGAGTGCCACAGCTAAGATACATATGTACAGTTTTTCTTTCCTTCTAATGCTTTTGCGATGCATTGTGATGATTAACCAGTCCTTAATTATCGAGTTGAAGCAGCCAGTCGAAAGATGGAGTTGGATGAGCGATGTCCTGCCTTGGGAGACCTTATGGTCGGCAGAGTAGCACAACATTCATTTGTTCTTCTGGGCCTTCTGAGCAGACTTAGTAACTTTACCAGTGGTAGACACTTTCTTCTCCACACCCTTTATCACACCAACGGCCACAGTCTGACGCATGTCGCGCACCGCAAAGCGACCTGTGACAAAAAGAAAAAAAAACAGCAACCGTTTAAAAAAGTCTAACACAAGATTGGGAAGGTTATAAAAATTTTAAAGAGCACATCACACTTAAACTTACCCAATGGAGGGTACTCGGAGAAGCTTTCAACACACATTGGCTTCCCTGGAATCATATCTACGATGGCAGCATCTCCAGATTTAAGAGATTTTGGATTGTCTTCCAGCTTTTTGCCTGACCGGCGATCAATCTTTTCCTTAAGCTCTGCAAACTTGCAGGCAATGTGGGCAGTGTGACAATCCAGAACAGGAGCGTAACCAGCACTAATCTGGCCTGGGTGATTTAGGATTATCACCTAAATGCAAAACAAATTGCCTGTAAGAAGAAAATGATTGCTTCTTTGCCCTTTTTTTAGAGCAAACTATTAATACTGACAGTTCATGTGTCAAGATACTTATTAAAAACATTTCCCATGACTAATTTATACACTGCTCAAAACATAAAGGGAACACAAAAATAAGATCCTATCTGAATGATTTACATATTCTTATGAAATACTTTGTTCTTTACACAGTAGCTTGTGCTGACAACAAAATCACACAAAAATTATCAATGGAAATCAGATTTCTCTATCAAGATCTGGATATGGAGTCACGCTCAAAATGAAAGCAAAAACAACAAACTGATCCAACTTTGATGTAATGTTCTTAAAACAAGTCAAAATGAGGCTCAGTGTGTGTGGCCTCTATGTGCCTGTATGACCTCCCTACAACACCTGGGCATACTCCTGATTAGGTAGCGGATGGTCTCTTGAGGGATCTTCTCCCAGACCTAGAGTAAAGCATCCACCAACTCCTCAACAGTCTGTGGTGCAATGTGGTGTTAGTGGATGGAGTGAGACATGATGTCCCAGATGTGCTAAACTGGATTCAGGTCTGGGTGGGCCTGTCCATAGCATCAATGCCTTCATCTTGCAGGAACTGCTGACACACTCCAGCCACATGAGGTGTAGCATTGTCTTGCATTAGGAAGAACTCGGGGCCAATCGCACCACCATATGGTCTCACAAGAAGTCTGAGGATATCATCTTGATGCCTAATGGCAGCCAGGTTACCTCTGATGAGCACAACATGCTTTATAGGTTAAAAATTGTACGTCGCTTTGGATTAAAGTGTGCCAAATAAATAAACATAAGCATGGAGGGTTGTGTGGCCCCCCCAAAGAAATGACACCCCATACCATTACTGTCCTACTGCCAAGCCGGTAAGGCTGGAGGATGTTGCAGGCAGCAGAATGTTCTCCATGGCATCTCCAGACTCTGTCACATGTATTACATCCCAGGCCATCTTGGAGGCCTGGGGAGGAGGACACGTGCTCTGGTGTTAAAAGGTTAACTTAAACGAATGTATTTACACAAAGGGAAATGAATGAACATAGACTAATTAACACAATTGGACTAATTGGTAAATGCTCAGTGTAAACCTGGGGTTTTTCTCAATGTCAAGGCGTTGCGAGGCGATGTCTTGTGAGGCCAGGCGCCTTGCTTACGAGGAAACTGTCCTTCCTTGGTCAAAGAAAACGGTTAAATGGAACAGACTTGCATCACGTGACCGCATCTTCTACAGCGGTCACGTTGTCGCATGCACGTCCCATTTGCCGGTTCCGTTAAAACCCAGTTCCGTTAGAACTTATGAGGCTGTGCATCCAGAACTTATGAGACTGTGCATCCATCAGGGTTCGATGGGGATGTCGGTGAGTTTTATAGTATTAGACCCTGGGTTGGGCGTCCTAAGTTAGAATCATATCTTTTATTTTAAAGGTGAAATAATATGTAAGACTTTTCCTTCTGTATTAGCTCACTTCTTTTTAAGCAATCCCGTTATCTTAAGGTTTCTTTATATTAATCTGTCACAAACCGTAAAGTAAGTCCTGATAATTCAAGAACCTATAATTAATGTGCTTACCTCTGTGCAATTAATGGTCAGGGCTCCCACTCATGAAGCTTTAGAGAAAACCTGAAATAATCAGGATTATGTTTCTTTTCCAAAAAAGTTTATTACAAAATAGAAAAATACAAAAATGAGTAAATATAAAAACAACCGCTATCCCCCAAGGAGGAATTAGTTCAAAATGATTAAATAAGAGAGTTAGTTTACACCAGCTCATATCTTCTGAGAATCTCCCCCAAACTACTACCTTAAAAACTCTAAAGAACTCTCTGCTCCTCTCCAAAAAACTGCCTGTCATCCCCCATCCAGCAGGACGGGGATGACCCCTCCAAATCTGCTCTATCTCTTCTTGTCGTCTGCCCCAGCTCCCTACTAGCTGCTGTTCAGAGCTGTTCTAATATACCCTTCCTGGGCCAGCTTAAGGTCATGGGGTCATTTACCAGATACACACTTTGTAGCTCAACACAAAACATTTGGTGTCATTTTCACTACATGCAGCATTCTTCTTAACACAGGTCATTACATCATCTTTTGCAGTATTCTTCAGTTTCTCTCCAATGTTCCTGAGAGGGCTTCTGGATCTGATGGGCTTGTCTTCATTCTGTTCTCCTCCAATCCCATCTTTCCAAGCCAGGGGTGGGGTCAGAGGTTGGGTCAGTCTCCTGACCTTTCGCCCAGTTCTGTCCTCTTGTCCCTGTGACCCTTGTGTGACCCTTGTTTCTGACCACAGTTTTTTGACCTGCAGCCCAGCTCCTGTCTTCTGGCTGATTTTGCTCGCACAAGCCAGTTCAGTGTGGCTCACCTTTTGACCCCGTACTTGCCACTGTCTTTGGCATGTGGGGACTGGCAACATCCCCCATGCGAGAAAAATCTAGCCAGGGGACTGCAGCAGCCTTCTTTGGGGTGGGGCTGCCTCCTCCTCCTCGGAATCATCTTCATCTCCAGTCTCAGACCCAGAGTCTGACAGCTCAGAGTCCAGATACACACCATCATCATCATCACTCTTTATAACAGGAAACCCAACAGCCTCAGTCTCCTCCTTCAAGCAGAGACGCTCTCCCTCCAGACTGAAGTGGAGACATTTTTACTGCAGAGCTCCAAATATTCTCCCCACACACCTGAACAACAACAAGCTAACTCTGCTAGCAGCATCTGGTTGGAAGCTTGCACTAAAAATTATAAAGCGTGGCAAGGTGGATAAATGAGGGCCCGGGCAGGATTCAATCCCGAGACCTCCGGGGTGGGAGTCATACGCTCTAACCACTCAGCCAATGGGACATCCTCTTGGACATGTGGCCAGGGCGCATTATCAATCAAGACATTGTGACAGAACGCTCACACTGTCACACCTTCCCCCCTCTTTCCACAAGCGCGTCCTCGTGCTCCCGCGCAGGGTGCCACAAACTTCACATCCATGGACCTACTGGACAGTACTACATGGATCCTGCCAACAACAACATATGTGGCAAGGTTAAAGATGCTTACGCCTTATCAGTGTAGCTGTCTGTCAGGTCAGAATCATATGGAGCTGTTAGTTCAGGACTCTCCCTTCTCAACAGAACTAGTAGGGGGAGGGGTGATGTCACCACATCCTGCTTGTCTGTTGTTGCTCAGCTGACTGAGTGCTTTTTCTCTGTTCAGCTGTCTCTTCTCATATCTGCAGGCTAAGATCATTCAAACCAACAAAAACACCATTTTTTTAAATAAAGCAGCACCCGTCTCTGCTTACGCCTCCATGGGTGCACTCACACACTTTCCAGGAGAATATACAGGGTTCCCGTCTCAAGCAGGTCCTGCAAATACAAATTTTAATTGGAGCAGAGAGTTCCAATGCTCCCAGTTATAAGTCCGTCCTCCTTTACAGGCGGCACGGCTTCTCCCCTCACGGAGCCCCGACAAAGAGGTTCACACATTATACATGTTCCCGCCTTCCAGCTCCTCCATTGCGCGTGACGATGCCCGACAGGAGATTCTGTGAAGCTAGGAAACATGATTACTTTACAGTTCGTGACAAATACCTCCCCGTGTTACCAGAAACGAGGCCCAAGTCACACAGATTCTTACATATCAGTCCTTCACTAGATTTTGATCCAGCCATGACGTTTAATCGCATCTCACTTGTGCCTCAGCACCCGCACAGCGCCCCGCCGCAGCTCCATACTAGCTTTTCCAGCCTCATTCTGAAAGCTCCGGTTACAGGATACTGAAAGATCTATCTGCCATGGCTGGTTAAAAGTTTTTCTTATTTTTATTTATTTTATTTTTATTCGTTTTCACGTCTTATTCTTTATTCTTATTCTTTATTTCTCTTTATTTTTTGCCTAGCTTTTATCCTTGGCTTTTCTTACGTCGGAAACCCGTGATTTCTTTATACCTCTTTGAGTTAATCGTCCGTTCTCCCAAATTTCTTTCCTTTTCGAGAAATTGGTGCGGTTCTCACTCCAAGGTTGTAAGCATATCCGGTCCATGGTGCGTAAGCTTTTATAAGCCTAAAAGACAGTTCTACGTCGGATAGCCCAGTATCTAATATTTAGACCTTCACTCCGTAGCCCCACGTTGTTGCGCCATGTCGCGTGCACGTCCCATTAGCCGGTTCCGTTAAAACCCAGTTCTGTTAGAACTTATGAGACTGTGCATCCATCAGGGTTCGATGGGGATGTCGGTGAGTATTATAGTATTAGACCCTGGGTTGGGCGTCCTAAGTTAGAATCATATCTTTTATTTTAAAGGTGAAATAATATGCAAGACTTTTCCTTCTGTATTAGCTCACTTCTTTTTAAGCAATCCCGTTATCTTAAGGTTTCTTTATATTAATCTGTCACAAACCGTAAAGTAAGTCCTGATAATTCAAGAACCCATAATTAATGTGCTTACCTCTGTGCAATTAATGGTCAGGGCTCCCACTCATGAAGCTTTAGAGAAAACCTGAAATAATCAGGATTATGTTTCTTTTCCAAAAAAGTTTATTACAAAATAGAAAAATACAAAAATGAGTAAATATAAAAACAACCGCTATCCCCCAAGGAGGAATTAGTTCAAAATGATTAAATAAGAGAGTTAGTTTACACCAGCTCGTATCTTCTGAGAATCTCCCCAAACTACTACCTTAAAAACTCTAAAGAACTCTCTGCTCCTCTCCAAAAAACTGCCTGTCATCCCCCATCCAGCAGGACGGGGGATGACCCCTCCAAATCTGCTCTATCTCTTCTTGTCGTCTGCCCCAGCTCCCTACTAGCTGCTGTTCAGAGCTGTTCTAATATACCCTTCCTGGGCCAGCTTAAGGTCATGGGGTCATTTACCAGATACACACTTTGTAGCTCAACACAAAACATTTGGTGTCATTTTCACTACATGCAGCATTCTTCTTAACACAGGTCATTACATCATCTTTTGCAGTATTCTTCAGTTTCTCTCCAATGTTCCTGAGAGGGCTTCTGGATCTGATGGGCTTGTCTTCATTCTGTTCTCCTCCAATCCCATCTTTCCAAGCCAGGGGTGGATCCAGGGGTGGGGCCAGAGGTTGGGTCAGTCTCCTGACCTTTCGCCCAGTTCTGTCCTCTTGTCCCTGTGACCCTTGTGTGACCCTTGTTTCTGACCACAGTTTTTTGACCTGCAGCCCAGCTCCTGTCTTCTGGCTGATTTTGCTCGCACAAGCCAGTTCAGTGTGGCTCACCTTTTGACCCCGTACTTGCCACTGTCTTTGGCATGTGGGGACTGGCAACAACGTAACGTCACGTGACACAGGAGATAACGTTATATTTTATATGTATTAGTTTCAATATAAATATATAACGAGCCTTTTACTGTTTAAATTGCGTATTTGTTTATTAAATTAAAAAAATTAACGAGTTACTACCCGCTAGCCACCGAAGCTGCAACTACTAAGCAACTAACCAACCATAGATAACTTCTTTGGATCTAAAAAAAACATTTTAATTTAGCTGACTTACTTTTAAACTTGAAAATTGTCCCCGAAGTAGCTGACGGCTTCTGATCCGTTGTCTTTTTGAAAATACAGCGGTGTATTGTGGGTAATTTTTGACCAAGGCTAGGCTACAAGACGCCTCCTGTGTATCCTTGCTCAGCTAGCTAAATGGCTAACAAACAGAGAACGCACGCCTCGGTAGAACATGAACATTGGAACACGTCTTGGCGGCTCCCGATGACGTATCTCCTAGGCAACTGGGGCGGGGCCAAGACATCAAGGCAAGGTTCCTTGGCATTGAAAAACACCCCTGCTCTCATCTGTGAAGAGCAAAGGGTGCCAGTGGCGAATTTGCCAATCTTGGTGTTTTCTTGCAAATGCCAAATGTCCTGCACGGTGTTGGGCTGTAAGCACAATCCCCACCTGTGGAGGTTGGGCCCTCATACCACCCTCATGAAGTCTGTTTGAGCAGACTCGTGAACAATTTCAGCCCACCGGAGGTCATTTTGCAAGGCCCTGACAGTGCTCCTCCAGTTCCTCCTTGCACAAAGGCGGGGGTAGCGGTCCTGCTGCTGTCGTTGTTACCCTCTTACAGCCTCCTCTACATCTCCTGCCTGTCTCCTGATAGTGCCTCCATGCTCTGGACAATAGGCTGATAGACCTTGCCACAGCTCACATTGATGTGCCATGCTGGATGAGCTGCACTACCTGAGCCACTTGTGTGGGTTGTAGACCCTGTCTCATGCTACCACTAGAGAGAAAGCACCACCAGCATTCAAAAGTGACCAAAACATCAGAAAGCATAGGAACTGAGAAGTGGTCTGTGGTCACCACCTGCAGAACCACTCCTTTATTGGGGATGTCCTGCTAATTGTCTGTATTTTCTAACTGTTTATTCCATTTACAACAGCAGGTGAAATTGTTTGTCAATCAGTGTTGCTTCCTAAGTGGTCAGTTTGATTTAACAGAAATATGATTGACTTAGTTACATTGTTTTTTTGAGTGCTCCTTTATTTTTTTTTTTGAGCAGTGTATTTCTCTGAAATATTTTTATACTACAAATGGTTCTAAAATACACACAGGTATTGTTTTATCTCTATGAAAAAATATTTATATAGCACATTTAAAAACAGCATGACAGCTGAAATATTTTTGTAGTGTTTACCTGAGCTGTGAAGTTGGCAGCTTCCTGCGGAGGGTCGTTCTTGCTATCTCCAGCCACATTACCGCGGCGAATATCCTTAACAGACACATTCTTGACGTTGAACCCCACATTATCCCCTGGGAGGGCCTCTGTGAGTGCCTCGTGATGCATCTCCACAGACTTGACCTCAGTGGTAACATTTACAGGGGCAAAAGTCACAACCATGCCAGGCTTCAGTACTCCTGTTTCCACACGACCCACAGGCACAGTTCCAATCCCTGAAGATGTCAGTAGATTAAAATAAAAGTCCCTACCTCGGTAATGAAATGGTAAACTTAGAACTTTGAAAAGAAAATAATGTATATTTAATTCATGTGTACATTACATGCCTCCTATTTTGTAGACATCCTGCAAGGGTAGGCGTAGAGGTTTGTCTGTTGGGCGAGTTGGGGGCTGAATGGCATCCAAAGCTTCTAGAAGTGTTGTTCCCGATGCACTTCCATCCTTCCTGTTGATCTTCCACCCCTTAAACCATGTCATCTGGAAGGACCAATGGCATCATACAAAACACAGTAATGGTTTTTATTATTTAAATACCTAAATAATTTTGAATTGTTTTTTGGCCTCCAACACATTTCCATATGGCAACTGCTGACTCATAGGCTGCAGCTACCCTACCCACAACCCTTGTAGGAATGTGTGATTAAAACCAAGCCCCCATAATTTGGATCTCGAAATGAAGCAAAACAGGAAGTAACAAAATTGCAGTTCCACCCTCATCCGCTGGGGGCTGGTATCAGAAGCGAGCAAATCCTCATTGTCTCCCATGTTAAAAATAACAATTTCACAGCAGAAATAAACATGTTTACAGCCTGGTACCAAAACATGTTTTAGGTTTAATAGATCTAGTTTACACTGAGGGGGGTGCATTTTTTTCTCACTCTTCTGTTTAAGTGTATTAAAAGCCTAAAATTCTGACTAATTAATGAGCATCCGACCCACGTGACCGCAGAGCTAGCTCTGGGGAAAGGCCTCAGTCTGAGCCTTGGTCTGGCCTGAAAACTGTTCCGCCATTTTCAGTCTCTCAACTTAGACCATTAGTTGTAGCGTTTGTGCATTCCTTTTTGGATACTGTTTGTGCAATTGTTGGACAAAATGACTTGCTGTGATATTAATGCAAATAGTGTCCAAGAAGTCTCCACTTCATTTTTTTTTGGTAAGTCAAATTATATCTATGTATTTATGTTGATGATTTTAGGTCACTGCCGCTCATGCACTAGCTGAGCTTAGATTTTAACATGTACTGTTTAACCATGAAATTTAAATGTAATAGGGTAAAACCTAATGCATTTAACATGACGCTGCATTTTTTTTAAAAGGGTTGAAATATAACATGTTGGTGGAGCTGGATTCTGACTATTAGTATGGCCCCCTCCCCTCAGCGGCAGCTCAGTGCATCTCTGATCGCAGCGGCGCCTGTCTGCTGCACGGCTGTTGGCTTGTGGAGCTTTTGGATGGAAACCAATGTTTTCCACCCGGTTCTCCCCAGCGGCAGCTCGGCGCATCTCTGATTGCGGCGCCTGTCTGCTGTGCGGCTGCCGGCTTGTGGAGCTCTCCGAAGACCTCTGTGTTCCACCCGGTTTTACCCAGCAGTCAGCCCAGCATACCTCTGACTCAGAAGCTCCGGTGTTGTGCAGTTAACTCCGGTTGTAGCTAGGTTGCTACTTCCGTTAGTTTAGCTCCCACCTCCATGTTAGCTTTGGGTTAGCTTGTAGCTACATCGCTTCAGTTCGATGGGTGCCGTCATTTGATCCCAGCCTTACAGCTCCACCTCTTTTCCCTTTTTTGTAATTGTCTGGGCTTGACGGAACCTGTGACGCAGTCAAAATGGCGGTGGTGGGAACCTCCCATTTTTTGTCCAGCATATATGTTGATGATTAAAACAAACATATAAAGAAGCTACAGTCACCTAGATTGTATTCCTTTCAAACAAATAGCAATTGCTACTGTCTAATAGCTGTAGTATAATTGAAGTTATTGAAGTATGGCCCTCTCTTTCTAGGAAGCTAATGCTCACCCCTGCTGAAAGGAGTTGAGCATATAATCAAGGGAAATGCTTGTAGTCTTAAGTGGCCTGATTGAGTTAGGCCAGCACCGTCTAAGGCGGGTTCATAGCACAGCTTAGCCTTTGCATCAGACAAACAAATCAGTAAAGACATGCATGGCTCCTTTCATCACACTGGCTGATGACATTTGAATTGCTGTTCGGTGTGGTACTTACATTTGGACTGGGTTCAAGCATGTTGTCTCCATTCCAACCTGAAATGGGCACAAAGGCGACAGTGTCTGGATTGTAACCAATCTTCTTGATGTAAGTGCTCACTTCCTTCACAATTTCTTCATAACGCTTTTGGCTGTAGTTGGGCTCTGTGGAGTCCATCTTGTTGATACCCACAATGAGCTGCTTTACTCCGAGAGTGTAAGCTAGGAGGGCATGCTCGCGGGTTTGTCCATTCTTGGAAATACCGGCCTCAAATTCTCCCACTCCTGCTGCCACAATCAACACGGCACAGTCGGCCTAAGGTTGCAAAAGATTCAAGGTGAACATAAGTACAGCTCAGAAGCAGTTCTGATCCCTTAATAATTTCAGATTTAAAAGGAAATATTCACTGTATTTTAATAAGTTGCTCTGAACAAGTTGTCCTGCAAGAGGAAACTGATTAACAGCAGTCTTGTTTACATTCACTAAACTGGATTTTGACTGCGTGTTGGACATCAGCTGTTAGAAATATTTGTAATGTTACTTAGAATTAGCCAAAGTACCATTTCAAATAAAGCATAGGTAGAATCAAACTAAGCATAAAGTGTATATTAGTTCCTGCATTTCCTTTTCAGCTGGAAGTGGCATAGCATCATCATGTTACAAACCTGGGAGGTCCCAGTGATCATGTTCTTGATGAAATCCCTGTGGCCTGGAGCATCTATGATGGTCACGTAGTACTTGCTGGTCTCAAACTTCCACAGGGAAATGTCAATGGTAATACCACGCTCCCTCTCTGCCTTCAGCTTGTCCAGCACCCAGGCATACTTGAATGATCCTTTTCCCATCTGGGAAAATAAGTCAGCAAAAAATATTTAAAAATCAAAGACTCATTTGGAAGCTTATCCATCCTTCGGCTGCCGTACCTCAGCAGCTTCTTTCTCAAACTTCTCAATAGTTCTCTTGTCGATGCCACCACACTTGTAGATGAGGTGGCCGGTAGTGGTTGACTTGCCAGAGTCCACGTGACCGATCACAACGATGTTGATGTGGAGTTTCTCCTTTCCCATGGTGATGCGTTGGGCTGAAGGTACGAGACTCTGTTAAAGCTGTGGTTTGCACTCAGTACAGAAAGCAGGGTTTGCAGAGCAGGAAAAGGAATGTTTTTCTTAATTAGTTATTTGAAACTCAAATGCTTTGCAGAATTAAAAGCAGCCAAAGAAATAATAACACTGAAGACGTGTGTAGCAGGTGTATTTAGCCAAGAGAGCTCACAGGGCCACTGATCTGCACCACAACACAAGTCCCTGCCCCTCTTACTCTCTAGTCCTCCCATCCATCCACACCCCTGCTCTCATTTTTCATTTCCAGCTTTGCTCTCCTGTCTTCAGCACATGCAGCATCTCTCCTCAGACTTGGTACAGCTTCACTTGAACCAGAATCCACCATTTTGTCACATCCAACTCTGCCAGAGTAGCAGCCATTTCTCAGAGACTGCAGTGATCAGCATACAGGTTCATGCAGAGTAGACATTGTTAACAGGGGGGTGTCGGAAGTGATGACCCTAGACATTACGGTCCAGCCATGTACTGCAAACTTTGGCATTAGAATTGATCATTTTGTGTGAATCTAGTTGCATCACATCCTCAGCCAGACGTGTTCAGGTGAACCCAGTCCCAGGACAGGGGATGCGTTTACATAGTAACTCATCCATTAGAAATAACGTCACAGCGGCTGCCGCAGTGCGCGTCTGTAAACAAAACATAACAAAACTGCACAGTCCTTTAAAAACAGCACAGACACTGCTGCAAACCGCGCGTTTCAGGGGATGCCAGCCCTCCGCCATGTTCTGTTATTTTCCTGCTTTCTGACAGCTGGATACGCATTTATTACCGACCACCTGTCTGTCTCTCTGCATCGCAACATTCCCAAAACACATCCGGGAAACGGATTCGCTTTAAAAAAGGAAGAAGAAAAAAAAAAGCTCGCACAAGACCTTTACAGAGGGCAACGGAAGCCCTCCTAGCACGCAGAACTGAATGTCGTACCTGAGCGCTGGCCGGTGTCGGGTAGCTGCAGGAGCGGAGCGGCAGAGAGGAGACGCTGATCCGTCTATAGCGCTCAGAACAGGCGGGGGTGTTGCGTAATAGCGCGCAACCGCCGCTGCACTGCATCACAGCGGCGGAGGGAGAGTTTATCACAGGGCACGCACATAACAAGGAAGGCATCCATTATCGGACATGGCGCGTTGTTTGTCCACTTAACCGATTTGTTACCTTTAAGGGAAAAGAAATCCATGACGTAACTTTTCATTCTCTGTGGTGGTCAAATGATTCAGCAGTAGTCCGCTCTCCAATTGATTCAGTTTAGTTGGATTAATTAACCCTGTTGATCTCTAAAGTCTTTGTTGTGTCTGTCAGCCAGGGAGCATCACGTTGAACCAGTTTACTTCCAAATACACTAGCTGTAGGGGATTCTGTAAATGATATCCCTCTAAATACATCTAATATCATTTTATAATTAACATGTTTAATATTTATTTGAAGAAAAAATATCTCAGCTTATAGGACTTTTCATGTTCTTTCATGCAAACCTTAAATGTATTAATATAAAAACCAACATGTTTCTGTTCTACATGGAGAAATAACTGGACAGAGTCAGACTTGCTTAAGCCTGTATTTGATATGTTTTCATTACATAGCAGTCATTTGGAATGCTCATAATAAACATATAACACAGTAACAACTGTGATAAAACAAACAAGTCCCTTTAGTATCAGTGTAAACAAACACAGTTACAAGCTGGAAAGAAATGTCAGTAAAGAGCTGGATTATCTGAATAAGGCACGGTTGCATTACTTCAGCTTAACTGCCCATTCTACTTATTCAAAGTAGTTTCAACAAATTATTTAACTTTTGGAGGTTTAGTTTGGCTAAAGATGCTGGCTGTATTGATAAAAAGCAAAGTACTACTAAATTTAAAAGTGAGATCATCAGGATAATGTGGCAACTATCTTTTTAACTTGGCATGAAGCGGTTGAAAACAAAGTGCAAATAAAGTAGCCCTCACCAGTATCCTCTTCATTTTCCCTTAAAGCTGTAACCCGTATGTCCCAGGTGCATTAGTTCACCTGACTAAAGAGGTTCCTGGTGATCTTTCCATTTGAAGAGCCATCAAACTTTCGTGCACTGATGGATTCCCTTTACATCA